CTACTGATAGTGGCCAAGGACTATCTTGGAGTTCAACCAATCATATAAGATTCTCCTTCCCCAACAAAGAGCAGGACCGGGAAGCAAGAAGCAGGCTGGGGCAAGCACGGGAGTATTGTGGAGCCCCTTGTCTCCCAAGTGTGCCACTGTCCTTTAAATCCACTTTGGGGTTGAGGGTCCCCCAGGTGTCAATACTGAATCTCCCTCCACCCAATGCCAATTTGCAACCCCAGAGAGAGGGTCCCTGTGGGTCCTGTTTGAGCTCCCCACCAAGGGCCCCACAGAGTCTATGCCTCCAACTTGCTGCCGTGCCCCCTCTGGGAGTGCCGGCCCTGTGAGAAGAGGAGCCTTCCCCAGGCCTGGCTTTCACTGACATTGGACAAGTTGTTTCTGGCCTGTGCCCTGTGGTAGACCTTGACATCTCTTCTCCAGAAGCCAGGGCTCCAGGCTCAGTGAGCTGGGCTGGGTCAAGACACCATAGGGAAGGGGCTCCAGGCACCAGGGCAAAACCCACAGACAGAGCTCCTTCCAGTGTCCACCCAGGCCAGGTCTAAGGAGCCATGTGGCCCCAAGTGCAGGTCAGGCTACCTTGGCTTGTTCATCTCCCTTTGTGGCCAGCAGCCTCCTTTTAGGGGGACATTCTTCTTGGGAGGAATTGAGAGCCATAGAGGGTGGGAAGCAGGCCTGAAAAGGGCAAACTTCCTAGAGACAGCCCAGAGAGCAGGGCCAGGCGGTGGGGAAGCTCCAACTCCACCGTCCGGGTGAGGACACTGAGGCTGAAGAGAGATCGGGTAGCATTTCCTATGATATCTGGACAGGAGAGGATGGCAAAGATTTGCTGTTCACCCCATCCCAGGCTGCCCCGCACCTGCCCAGCCACTTCCCAGTTCTCTGCTTTGTCCCCCTTCTCAGGTTCTGAAGTCATCCTGCTTTACGCCTGTCACTCCCACTGAAGCAGGGACCTTGCCTCCCCGACAGCCACAGAGGCCTCGCACCCAGTAGGCCCTCAATCAATATTTGTGGAATCAGTGAGATGGGATTCAAGTCCGAGGTGTGTCTGCAGAGCATTGGAAGTGCAGCTCTGGGTCCGAGAGGCCACCCAGTAGAGCAGTAGAGCACCCTGGGGACCTGCAGGGGCAGTGGACGCCTACTGTGACTCTGGGGAAGGCTGATGGAACTGTCACTCACTGAGCTTATTTGCTCATCCAATCTTGAGGATTCTTAGCTCCCTACTTGGCAAGCCTGGTGGGTTCACAGCTACCTCCGAGGGTTTCCTTGGCAAACTTGTATCAGACTACTCCTTACTTGCCAGCACCTGTTACTAAAGAAGGGGGAGCAGAAAGAATGGGGGTGTCATAGCAACAAGGGTAAGGAGAAGGCAAAGAGTTTTCCACTTCTGGCAATGGTAGTGGTGGCAGCCACCTGGCCCAGGGCACCATCTCTTTTCTCCTGTCTGTCCCCTGCTTCCTCTACCCTGCCACTTCCCCCTTCCTCCCAACCCAGCTCACAGCAGTCTTCTCTCCATCTTTCCAAGGTAAATGTAGCTTGCTGCTCTCCTGATGCCCCCACTAAGGCTGTGGCTTCTGGTCCCCACTGACCTCTTAGACTTTATTTCCCTGGCCTCCTCTCCCACCTCCTTTCTGTTTGTCCCAGCCCCGCCCCCAACTCCCTCTCCCCTAGCTCCTCCTTTGCCATTCCTAATCCCGCCATCTTCATTCCTCTTCTAGGTTTGCTTTTGCTGAATTATCTTTTATACACTTGCTAATATCTGTCTCCTTTCCCCTAGACTTCCTGTGCAACATGGAATGATGAAAATCTAGACACAGGAATCTCATTCCTGGCCCTAGCCAGGACTCAGGTTTTGTGAAGGGGTATGGGGTGGGAGAAAAACCCCACCAAACCAACACCTAGTCTAGAGCCTGATCTAAGTGCCACTCAAAACACGTTTCCTCCCTTTACTTTCCTTTAACCTGAGAATTCTTCCTGAAAAAGATGGCCCCTGAGAACCATCTAAAAGCATCATGGGGTAGAAGGGCAAGGGTCCTGAGAGTTGGTCTTGCCATCCCCTTGTTTCCAGTTTTCTTGAAGAAGTTGAGCTCCAGAGAAGAGGCAGGGCCCGTGGGCCGTTTGGGTTACACTCCAAGTCTAATTTCTAGTACAGCAATCCTGCCCCCAGAGGCTCCCTTCATCTGTCCACTTGGCCAAGGAAGGGGCGGGTTGGCCCACAATCCCTGCCTGGCTGCAGACATCAGAAAGGTGTCCATGTAGCTGGGGCCCCAGAACCATGTCTGTGTGGAAAGGGCCCAAGGAGCTGGAGCCCTTTAGCCTCAAGAAGAGAATGAGGGACCCAGCACCTTTCTGAAACCTAAACCAAATTCTGGCCTGAGCCGTTTTCACCATCTGCACTCTAGAAGGTTGTGCAGGCCTTGAAGTGGGTCTTCCTGTTTTCCTGTCTTCTGAGGCCCAGGCGTTTCTCAGAGCCTCCATGGGTCCCACCCCTGCACCCATCACATGGTGTCTGGGCCCTGCCTGCCTGGCTCACACCCCCCACCCTGCTGCCCTATTCCCATCCCTGAAACAGTCCACTGGACACTGCCATTCCCTCTCTTAAAAGACTTTCACAGGCCCTGACCATCCCTTGGTCGATCTAGTGAATGTCACCCCCTCAGAGAAACCCTCTCTGAGCACCGCATCTGCAGTAGGGTCACCCCCATCTTCCACCCTCACTGTTCCTGGTGTCTCCTTCCTAGTCCCCACGTCTATGGGGAGTTTCTTCACTGATAGACTAGACTCCCTCGCCCACCTGGGGGCCAGCGTTGTCTGTCTTCTCTGTCCCTGCACACCAGAGGTGATCAATGATCACTTGTTGACATCAATGAAACAGGAAGGCCCCTGAGGTGCCGGGAGCCGTTCACTGCAGGTGAGAAGAAGCCTTGAGAAGTGGAGAGGACCCGAGTTAGTGTCCTCTCCCCACCCAGAGGGTCAGCTCCTGGCAGCTCTGCGGCTCTGTGGCTTGGGACGCCTCTCTCCTGTGCCCTTGACGGGTGGCCTGCAGGGGACGCAGCCGCACTCGGTCCGCTGTGGTCCTGGAGCAGCCGCGTCCGTGCGAGAGGCACTTAGGAAGGACAAACTCCAAAACCCAGGGCTCCAAAGGACCCATGGGAAGGTCGGGAGGCTCAGGGGAGTGATCCCGCGTCTGGGCCAGCTCTTTGAGGCCCCTGTGGACCCAGCGGAGAGGGCCCGGGTGAGGCCTCCGGAGGCGCTGAGCCGGGCAGGGACCCGCAGAGGGCGCCCGTCCGCGTGGGGGCAGCAGCGTCTGGAGGGAGGCTGCCCCGGCCGCCGGCAGAAATCAGGCTCTACCCGGGGGTCTCTGGCTCCGCCTCCCAGGCCGGGCTCTGTCTCTTTGCCCAGGCTGGGCGGGGCTGATGGCCGTTGGAAGCCCTGCCCCCCGCCGCTCACCACCATGTGGCCCCGCTTCCGTCTCCATGGAGACCCGACGCAGCTGGACCGCCTGTCAGCGGCTGCTCTGGAGCCTGGGGCCTGCCCCGTGCGCCCTGTCTGCCCTCCGCGGGCCGTGCTGTACAGGCTGACCCGACAGCCCGACTCGAGACATCGGGATGCCTGTCCACGCCTCCACTCCTGGGCCACTTCCCCGTGGGGCGGGCAGTGGGGCAGGGCGGGGTGGGAATCTGCTGCAACCAGGGAAGGGAATTGTCCCCAGGCACAGAGAGTTTGGAACCTGGGGTACTGTTACCAACAGCCCAGGACCGCGCAGCTGGGCCCCGCCCTAGAGTCTTCCTGCAGCAGGGCTCTCCTCCGGAAGGGCTGTGAGGGCTGTGAATATTTCTCTGAGGTGGGGCTAAGCTAAAGCCCAGAGGTTTGCCCTGGGCACGGATCCCCCAGGTCACTCGCCTCCTACGGGCTGCAATGAAGGAGGCTCTGAGGGGAGGATGGCCGGTTTTTCCCCTGCAAGGATATGAACCCCAGGGAAGGCATTTCTGCTCTGGGGACTGCCTCCCTCCCAGACATCACAGCCAGCCCTTGCAGAAGCTTGGCCAAGCTGACCACTCTGTCAGTGATCTCTGCAAGGGAGGCTGAACGAACACCCAGCCCCAACTGTGTTCCCTTTCTGCTTCAGGCTAGGCCATATCTAGGCCTATCAGTGAGGTTGGTCTGGTCTCCTCATGAGCCCCCCTGCACAGATATCTAGATGTCCAGAGTCCCAACAGAACAACAAAGGGTTAAAAACTATCTCTAGCTGGGCACGGTGGCTCAAGCCTGTAACCCCAGCACTTTGGGAGGCTGAGACGGGTGGATCACGAGGTCAGGAGATGGAGGCCATCCTGGCTGACATGGTGAAACCCCGTCTCTACTAAAAAATACAAAAAATTAGCCGGGTGAGGTGGCGGATGCCTGTAGTCCCAGCTACTCGGGAGGCTGAGGCAGGAGAATGGCGGGAACCTGGGAGGCAGAGCTTGCAGTGAGCTGAGATCCGGCCACTGCACTCCAGCCTGGGCGACAGAGCCAGACTCCGTCTCAAAAAACAAACAAAAAATAAAAACTATCTCTATACTGAAGCAGGCCAAGCTGAAGGCTGACTTCTAGGGTGCCCTAGAATGGTGGAAGCTGCACACACTTGACACCACCTAGCCGAGTTGGCTTCCAGAGGAATCTTTCTGTGGGTCCTCACTGACCACAGGATGCAAGCCTTCAAGATGTGCCTTCAAGACCTGTGTTCCTGATGTGCTTTCAGGACCTGTGCTATGGGCACCTGCTGGCCTCCCCATTGCTGGAATCCATTTGTGCAGCCCCTGTGGTGACGTGCACACTAGGACCAGTGTTCCCAACTTGCCTGATCGTAAAACCACTGAGGACCCATTCTGTGGAACCAATACACTCCACACCTCAGGTGCCTTTCTTGTCCGTGCATCCGTACCTCTGTCTGGGATGCTTTTCCATTCAAATTTTATCCCAATAAAACCTCTTCAGCAAAAAGAAAAGCAAATCAGAAGCTAACAGCATTTATTATATCTTTTCCAGGGGCCACAGGCTTGCGGGCCTACCTGGTCAGGCAGATGCTCCAAATCTGCCTGAGAGGCATGAGGTAAGGGGCTGGTACTGGAGGGTATGGTGGCCCTGCCAAGGAGCACCTGTGGTTCCAGCTGCCACAGCAAGCAGAATGGAGGCCTGGGGCTGCAAGACGTTTTGAAGAGACACAGGAATCAGCATTTTTGTACATGATCTTGTGTGTGTGTGTGTGTGTGTGTTAAACACTGGAGTCGTAAAACTGTAGATTAAAAGAGAAACTGCAGAACATAAAACAAAACCCACCTGCAGCTCAGGGCTGGCCTGCAGGCACCTGTGACTGGTGCGGTTTCCCGCCTGTGCTGCCCGTGACCGGGTCAGTCTCCACTGCACACCCCATGGACACGGTCTCAGTCTGTGGCTGCAGCCCCAAGTGCCACAGAGGTCCCTCCTCATTGCCAGGGCTGTCTGGCCCTGAGTCTGTGAGCTCCTGTGGGGCAGGTATCAGCTTCATGACCTGGTTTTCCTTCATAACTGCTCTCTGAGGGTAGTGGCTGGCCAGAGATCCTTTGCCAAACGGATTCTGGAACCCAGCCCTGGTCCCTAGGCCTCTCCCCACTGGAGCCACTCATCACTGGCAGGCTGGCCACCAGGGCATGCTCCTCTTCCCTTGACTTTATGTCCCAGGCCTGGAAGGAAGCATCCAGAAGTCTCCTCCTAGCACCACGGGACCCAGAGAGTAAGAGAACAGAGCAGCAGGGTCACACCCTGGCTTGCAGGGCCAGCTTCTGGCAACTGCCACAGACCTGCCACATTCAGCCTTAGGTTCCCAAATGCAGCCCAGAACAGCTGCAACTCCTTCTTGGGCCTCCTCTGACTGGTCTATATGCTAACTAGCAACCTGCCTTTGTCCAAAACGCAGCACCCCATGTAGACAGAGCAGCTCAGGGATCCCATCGTTCCTGGGAGCCGCTGCCTCCTCCAGATCTCAGCCCTGCCTGCCTCCAGAGGGAACAGTAGAACTACAACTTCCTCCAGGAAACATATTCACAAACATACTAGAAGGGCCAGGCGGAAGAATGATTCTGCTGGCTTTGGGCCTTGATGTGTTGCAGGATTTTTAAGGAATCAGAGAGACCAATGGGGCTCAGGAGGAATTTTTTTTTTTTTTTTTTTTTTTTGAGACGGAGTCTTGCTCTGTCGCCCAGGCTGGAGTGCAGTGCCGGGATCTCGGCTCACTGCAAGCTCCTCCTCTCGAGTTCACGCCATTCTCCTGCCTCAGCCTCCTGATCAGCTGGGACTATAGGCACCCGCCACCATGCCCGGCTAATTGTTTTGTATTTTTAGTAGAGACGGAGTTTCACCGTGTTAGCCAGGATGGTCTCGATCTTCTGACCTCATGATGCGCCGGCCTCAGCCTCCCAAAGTGCTGGGATTACAGGAGTGAGCCACTGCACCCGGCCAGGAAGATATTTATTAATTATTTAGCTGCACCGGCCCAGTCGGATTAACATCCAAAGGACTGAACTCCAAAGAGTCAAGTTACCTTTTAAGCATTTCATGGGTCAGGGGAGATTTGTGCAGGGGGAATACTACAGAAGTAAGAAACAAAGACAGTCACTCAATTGAAACATGCATTACATAATTTCTTACTTTTCAAGGAAAACGTGTTTTGCAACTTGAGTTTATCTGTCTAGTGACCTTGCAGCTGCACAGCTAGGGAAACAGGGTCTTCACGATACCTGGGAAAGGAGGAGAGATAAGGCTCAGCAGCCACAGAAAAACAGGCAGTTAATTTTAAAGGACTCCAGCTCTTTCTCTTTCTCAGAGGGAATTGGGTTTTCTTACATACAACTGAGTTCCTGCTTACACATTCTTTAATTTCTTTTAATTCCTGTTGCAGATGAACAAAGAAGGGATTTATTTTCCTACACAGAAACACCCCCAGCAGGAACAGAAATAGATCTTTTGTGCCCACCGATATGTGCCTCTCTTGCCCAGCCTGTCATTGTCCAGGGCTGTGGGTAGTGGAAGGCAGGAACTGCAGGCTCCTTGCCTGGTTCTGCAGAAGCCCTGGGTCAAAGGCCTCCACTGAGAGCATCCAGAAATGTGTGCTTCTCCATTCTGGCCACACACTCAAATCATCGGGTGAGCCTTCAACACACCCGTGCTTCTCCCAGACCAAGGAAATCCAGGGCGCTGAAGATGGGGCCTAGGCATGAAGTTTTCTTAAAGCTCCAGCTCTCTAGTGAGTTTCCTGCCTTGGCACTCCTGGAGACATAGCCTGGCCAGCTCAGGGGCCTGCAGCTCTACCCAAGGCAGAGCTCCAGGGACTTGCAGGGTCAAAGGCGCCTGGGCAAGCTTCCCAGCATCCCAGTTTCCACATTGGCCACAGGGGTGAGAGCGACTGAGGTTGGGAAGAAAGGAAGGCTACTGACTTTCCAGGCCCTGCTCCACTTGGGAGGGAGGGTGCCTGGGCAGCTTCTCTGCACTCTCTGTCTACAGCCTCCTTCAGCAGCAAAGCCGGCTGGAGTTGCCAGGGGATGCTTGCATAGCCTTATGGGCCAAGAAATGAGTCCTAACTCATGTGTCCTCCCATACTGAGTAAAAATCTCTGGCCCCCACCAAGATTCAGAGCCTGAAGTTCCAGAAACTCAGGAGGCTCAGCACCAGAACTCAGGAGCTCTCAGCCTGGGTGGAGCCCTGAGTTTCTTTTCTTTTTTTTTTTTTTGAGATGGAGTCTCACTTTGTCATCCACCCAGGCTGGAGCGCAGTGATGTGATCTCAGCTCACTGCAACCTCCCTCTCCTGAGTTCAAGCGATTCTCCTGCCTCAGCCTCCTAAGTAGCTGGGATTACAGGTGCGTGCCACCACGCCTGGGTAATTTTTGTATTTTTAGTAGAGACAGGGTTTTGCCATATTGGTCAGGCTGGTCTCGAACTCCTGACCTCAGGTGATCCACCCGCCTCAGCCTCCCAAAGTGCTGAGATAGGCGTGAGCCACCGAGCCCAGCCTGGAGCCCTGGGTTTCCATCCTTTTGCCTCCTATGCTGGGTGAGCCCCCAAGGCCAGCACGGCCACTGGGAGGGCTGACAGCAAAAGGGCCACCAGCTTGGGGCTCAGAGACACATGGGAAGGGGGCAGATGCAGAGGCAGCTGGGGTTTTTGTGATGTGAAGCCTCATTTTCAAGTTCATGGGTTTTAGGCACTCATTGATTTTTGACTTTTTTTCACTCAGCAGTTTCCTATTTTTTATTTATTAAAAAAGTATCAAACATACGTAAAATTTACCATTTTACGTGTCCATCTCAGCATCATTAAATATATTCGCAATGTTGTGCAAACATCACTACTATTATTTCCAGAGCTTTTCCATCATCCCAAACAGAAACTGTGTGCCCCTTCAAGAGTAATTCTCCACTCCCTCGACCCCACTCTGTTCTATTTTTGTCATTATGAATTTTCCTGTTCTAGGTACTTCCAAAGAGTGGAGTGATACAATGTTTGTCCTCCTGTGTCAGGTTTATTTCCCTAGGAATAATGTTTTCTTTTTTCTTCTGAGGTAGATTATCTCTTTGTTGCCCAGGCTGGAGTGTAGTGGTGTAATCACAGCTCACTGCAGCCTCTGACTCCTGGACTCACAGGATCCTCCCAAGTAACAGGGACTATAGGCTCACGCCACCATGCCTAGCTAATTTTTAACTTTTAGTAGAGACAGGACCTTGCTATGTTGCCCAAGCTGGTCTCAAACTCCTGAAGTGATCCTCTTGCCTCAGCCTCCTGAAGTGCTGCAGTTTTGGGCATCAGCCACTGCACCCAGCCTGGACATTTCACTGAAATGGAATCATATGACATGCAGTCTTTTGCCACTGGCCTCCTTCACCTAGCACCCATGTTGCAGCAAGTGTCATTAATTTATTCCTTCTTATAGCTGAATAATATTCTAATACACGGATAAACTACATTTGTTTACTCACTTATCAGTGGATGGACATGTGAGTTGTACCTGCTTTTTAGCTGTTATAAATAGCAATGTTTTACATTCCCATCAGTACCTAGGAATACGTTTAATATGAAAAGCAAAGGATCCTATATAAATTAGTTATAGCCTGGGTGTGCCTACAGTCTCAGCTACTTAAGAGGCTATCATGGTAAAACCACTTGAGCCCAGAAGTTCGAGGTTGCAGTGAGGGATGACTGTACCACTGCGTATCAGCCTGGGTGACAGAGCAAGACCCTGTCTCTAAAAAATAAACCAATTAATCTTACTGAAGGAACTGAAAAAAGACCTCAAATAGTATCATGGGCGGAATGTTTATGTTCCTCCAAAATTCCTGTGCTGAAGCCCTAACCCTCAGGTGGCTGTGTCTGGAGTAAGGAAGGAATGAAGGTTAAATGATGTCACAAGGTGTGGCCCCGATCTGAGAGAATTCATGTCCTTATAAGAACGGGGGCTTATAAGAAAAGGTGACAGCAGGCCAGGTGCGGTGGCTCATGCCTGTAATCCCAACACTTTGGGAGGCCAAGGCAGGTGGATCATCTGAGGTCAAGAATTCGAGACCAGCCTGGCCAACATGGCGAAACCCCATCTCTACTACAAATACGAAAATAGCCAGGTGTGGTGGCAGGTGCCTGTAATCCCAGCTACTTGGGAGGCTGAGATAGGAAAATTGCTAGAACCCTGGGGGTGGAGGTTGCAGTGAGCCAAGATGGCACCACTGCACTCCAGCCTGGGTAACAGAGTGAGACTCCATCTCAAAAAAGAAGACACGACACCAGAGACACCTTGCTCATGTGTCCTCTCTCTGTGCACACAGCGGAAAGGGCATGGGAGGACACAGTGAGAAGACAGCAGTCTGTGAGCCCGGAAGAGCGCCCTCACCAGAAACCAAATGTGCCAGCACCTTGCTCACGGACTTGCAGCCTCCAGAACTGTGAGGAAACAAATCGTCTGTTTTGGAGCCGCCCAAGCTATGGGGTTTTGTTAAGGCTGTGGGGTTTTGTTAAGGCAGCCTGAGCAGACTAATGCAACAGCTGCAACAAAACTGCAATCGATGAGAAAAAAAAAAAAAATGGGCTTGAAGAAAAAAATAAATTCCAGTCAAAATCTCAACAGAGTTTTATTTGGGAGGTGAGATGAGAGAGGAAACAGGTGGGAAAAGAGAGGTAAAAGGCTTGGTTAGTCTCAGGGCTGGAGAAGGTCAGAGTAGTGGACAGACCCCCAGCTGCTGGCTGCGGGGTCCGAGATGCCAACTGTGTATGTGATGAAGCTGGGCCACCCAAGAGACTTCTCCTTCACCAAGGCCAGCATGGCCGGGACCTGGATTTCACCTGGGAGAGACATCAGAGCCGGGGGTGCACATTCTGCAGAGTGGAGGGACCACTGAGTGGGGCCTCGGGACCCCGAGGCGGGAGGGCTGCTCTGCATGGCCCATCTCTGGAAGCACCCCTGCTTCAGCCTGACACGCTGGGCTTCCCTCCTGGGGCCCAAGGGTATGGAGTGGGGACCCCTGCCCAGGTCACACCTCATGGGCAGGTAATGACACCTGGGCACTGCTCATGGATGGCATGTAGTCTGCAGAGTCGGGAAGCCCTGTACGTACTCAGGGTGTTTTTTGAGGGAAGAGCAAATCAATATGAATGTCAGAATCAAATTCAAGTTTATTCAATTCTAATCAAGTGCTGCTTTAAAAAAGGCTAAACCAACACGAAATATCACCAAGCACCAGCTCTCCAAGGCAGCAGCCCGAGCTCTGCTCACGGCTGGTCTCCAGCAGCCGCCAGCGGGCCGGCCCTCCTCCCTCATCGGCGATGCTGGGCATTCCCTGCCTCTGCGGGAGAACATGCCGTCACGCTGGCTGCAGCAAGGCAGGAGGATGAGCAGGTGGAAATGCCGAGGAACTCCTTGGTTCTCTCACCCCAGAACTCTTCCCAGCCTGCTAGGCTCCGGGCCTGAGGGATCATTCACCCCCCAACCCCACCCTGTGACTTAGTCATGGGGGAAGTGAGGCCTGGAGAGAGGACTTGTCCCAGCAGGGATTAGGGCTTTCCTCCCTGCTCTGTGGCGGATGCTCCTGCACTGAATTCGGCCATGCCACGCACCACATGCTCACTGGCACCTTTTCTGGGTTCTCAGTGCTGCCCCCAAAAGCTTAACTTATAGCTGGGGAAGACCAGCAGAGGTCGGATCAATTAATACAATCGCGCAGCCTGAGAGACAGCAATAGTGCTACGGAAAGAGTACTTCAATTTAAAAATTATAATTGTAAAAATAAATTTTAAAGAGAGCTGGCCCAGGACATCCACACCACATTCCCTCTTCCTCCAGGGCCCTCCTAATGCCCCTGACTCCGGCCTGGCCTGAGGCATGCACATGCCACTCACCTCCAAGTTCTTCAGAACCTTCGGGGCACCAAAGACCCTGACCTCGGAGCTGGTGTAGTGGTTGCTCAAAAGGATTTCAGCCTGGTTGGCGAAGAGACCTGGGTTGAAGGGCACCTCTGGCCAGCTGGTAATGACACAGAGTTCAGCCTTGTCCTCACACAGCGAGGGCAGGACAGGGAGGTTTGGAGCTGAGAGTCAATAAATGGGTAATGGGCGGCCATTAGTGAAGTGGCAGGAGGTGGGGCAGCACACACCGCGAGCTGTTTTGTGTATGAACGGCCAGGCGATGGTGTCTGAACATCTTCCTTTAATTCTGCAGACGGAAACAGGGCACGACGAACCTGGGAACCCACAAAAATGATGAGCATAGAGCTCTGTGGGGTGCGGTAAGAAGTGGGGAGGGGATGAAAATACCTTTGCATTGGGTTTTGACTTTTGAGCCATACAAGTATTTTACATGTTCAAAACCTAGAATTAAGCCCCCAAGGAGAAAAAGAAATCCAGACCCTAACTTGTCTTCCTATCCATCCACCATCACGAGACAGCAGCAGCCTAATGTAGAGGTGGAATGGCTCACTGCAGCCGCAGCACAGCGCCACCTGGGGACACGGCCTTGGAAGGCCCGGGCTCTGTCTCACAGGGAGCGGGGCGTGCTGTGAACCAGGGACCACCACGTCGTCCTGGCTCCTCCCCAGCAGGGGTCTGCAGCTAGGTGTGCATGTGGCAGGGGCTCCTCTTCACACCTAGTAACCCTTGCACAGAATGTTTGCTTCCTGCCCCAGAAACTTTGAGTTTTGCTTGTTTGGAGGTCTTAGTTTCCACGAGGGAATGCTTCCCCAGAGGAAATCTGGCAATGGTTCCAGTGCATTGGAAGATGAGATTTTCCCTGGCCATCTGGGGCTCCCCAGGCCACTGAAGCAATGGGAGGCAAAAGGGTTCCTCTCCTGGCTGGAGAGATTGAGCCCAGTCACCAAGGCTTCACTACGCAATGGGGACAAGAACCTGGGGGCTGCTCTGGTATTTCCATACCCAATGGTAATGGCTCATGGGAAATTCTAGCAACCAAAAAAGGCAGGACAGTTGAAGAATCAGACTAGTTACGAATGATGGTTTGAGTCACAACACAGATAGGAGAAACTTGAGGCCAGGTGCAGTGGCTTCATGCCCATAATCCCAGCACTTTAGGAGGCCAAGGTGGGCAGATCACTTGAGTCCAGGAGTTCAAGGTTACAGTGAACCATGATTTTTCAACTGCACTCCAGCCTGGGTTACAGAGAGAGAGCTTGTCTCTATAAAACCACTTTTAAAAAAGAAACTTGACCAGCTCAGGTCTGTGTGAGGGCAGGGGACAATGGAATGGGTTTGGGAAGAAGGAAGCCACAGACATTACCCACAGCTGTGCCCTCCATTAGCAAAGGAAGGGCTGCAGTAGCTTTACTCACTTTCACTTTCCTGGTTACACACACGTGTTAGTTGGTTTGTGCTATTTCCTTCTTTCCATTTTTTTTTTTACTTTCTATACAGGTGTCAATGGGTAACGTTACAATTTAGTCTTCAGGGGACAGAATATTCAGCAGCGCTGTGATGGAACCTGAGGAGTCACTCAGAGACCCGCATACACAGTGACTTAGGGACTGTGCCTCATTGTGGGCAGGGTGTGAGAAACCCCTTCTTGGTCTGAAGTGTGGCTGTATCTTGGGAGGCGGAAACACAGGGCTGCTTGCTTGTTCTGAATTTCACATGTGCGTGGAGGGTGCAGGTGGAAGCTCAGTGTCCTACGATAGCTGGGTTAGAGCCTTTTTGTCTCTCAGCTCCAAAGTCATTGTTCTCCGCCTTGCTCTGTGATCATAGCATTGGACTTTGTCAATGTTCTCCTCTGCCAGTTAGCAGAGGTGACACTGGGGGTGCTGCAGGAAGAAGGGGCAACCCTCATGGTTGCACTGGGCAGCCCTCTCTTCCCATCTGCAGCTGCTGTGGGCAGGCAGGTTTCCATGGGAGTGACTTCCCACATGCAGTGCCCTTTCTGCCAGCACCCGAGGGACGTCCTGCTTGCCAGTCCTGTCTCACACTCCCACGCCTGCCAGCCCCAGCCTGCTGGCTGCAGCAACTGCCTTGTGGGGCAACTGCCACGTTCTCCGCCATTCCAAGGGCTGCTTCCACTCCTTCTCCAATGAGACCGAGCCTCGGGACCAGAGGAATGGCCCAAGCAACCCTGAGTCTGATGAGAAACAATTGTTATTGTGGTTCTAAGCCCGGAAGTTTTGCGGTGTTTGGCTTTGTAGCAAAAGATAACTGTCACCCCTTTTATTTAGGGGTCTGTCCTTTGTCCAGTGATTTGTCACACCATCTTTACTGTATCCTAAGTTTCCATTTTATGGAGTCTGTTTCTGGACTTTCCATTCTGTTCAGCTCGTCTGAGTCTGCACATACCAATACAGCATGTTTAATGACAGAAGCTTTCTAGTGTGCTGCAATGATGTCTGGATGTACCACTAACCCTAAAAACAAACACACAAAGAAAGAATGATTTTCCTGGAGAGTCTTGCCTTATCAAAATAGGAATTTAAAATAGTCTTGACTAGCTCCATTTTTTAAAAAAACTGAGAAGTATTGACCTCTGCATGTTAAATTGTGTTATCTTAAAACTCTGTATTTTTCTCAGTGTTTTAATCTTTTCCTCACTTGTATTGTCATTGTTTTTTGAAGTTATTCCTAGTTATCTTTTTCCTTTTTTTGAGACGTGGTCTGTTACCCAGGCTGGAGTGCAGTGGTGCAATCATGGTTCACTGCAGTCTGAACCTCCTGGCCTCAAGCTATTCTCCTGCCTCAGCCTCCCAAGTAGCTGGGACTACAGGCATGAGCCACCATGCCCAGTTAATGTTTTTTATTTTTAGGAGAGATGAGGTCTCCCTCTGTTGCCCAGGCTGGTCCCAAATTCCTGGACTCAAGTGATGCTCCTGCCTCAGCCTCCCAAAGTGCTGGGATTATGGTGTGAGTCACCATGCCCAGCTCCTATGTATCTTTTGTAAAAATTTTATCTTGTACATGCATTCCTTTTTTCCTTTTATTATTCTTTTAAACTTATTAATGTCTATTGATTCATATATATTAATGTCTATGGATTCATATATATTAATGTGCTTTTCAGTCATCTTGCTGAGTTTCCTCATTGTGCCTTAACTTTTTCATTGATTTCTTGGGATTTCCAGAAATGCTGTTACATCATCTGCAAATATAAATAATTTGCCTCTTTGGTGGGGCACAGTAGCTTATGCCTGTAATCCTAGCACTTTAGGAGGCTGAGGTGGGAGGATCACTTGAGCTCAGGAGTTTGAGACCAGCCTGGGCAACACAGCAAGAACTCATCTCTACTAAAAAAATAAAAAAAATTAGCCGGGGGTGGTCGGGGGTGTGCACCTGTAGTCCCAGCTACTGGGCTGACTGAGGCAGGAGAAACACTTGAGCCCAGGAGGTTGAAGCTGCCGTGAGCTGTGACTGCACCACTGAACTCCAGCCTGGGTGACAGGGCAAGACCCTGTCTCAAAAAAAAAGAAGAAAAAAAAAGGAAATAATTCACCCCTTCCTTTCTGATTCAGATGACTCTAACTGGATCTGATTGAATTGGCTGAACCCTTCAACACAGTGTTGAAGAGACGTGAAGATGCTTACCATGTCTTTTCCCTGATTTGCACAGACTGCATTCACTGTTTCTGCATTCAATTAAATGCTGGCTTTTGAACTCAGGTATACTCTATCATTCCCAAAAAACAATCCACTTATTTAAGTGTTTTATGTACCAGGAATTTATTCTGGATTTTGCTGAAGCCCTTTTGTCATCCAGAGAAATGATCATGTGGTTTTTCTTCTTATTTTAGTTAAGATGATGGATTTCCTAATATTGAACAATTCTTGCATTCCTGATGTAAAATGCTATTTGGTCATGAGGTATATTCGTTTATATGGAATATACCACTAGATGTTTGATATGATTTGATTCACAATTTTCTATTGGTGACATGTAGCTCTGTTTTTATGTAACTTCTATCAGGTCTAGAAAACAGTGTCAAAATCACTGCATAAAAAACATTGGGAGGCAGGTGCGGTGGCTCACCTTTGTAATCCCAGCACTTTGGGAGGCTGAGGCAGGCAGATCACCTGAGGTTGGGAGTTTGAGACGAGTCTGACCAACATAGAGAAAACCTGTCTCTACTAAAAATACAAAATTAGTGGGCATGGTGGTGCATGCCTGTAATTCCAGATACTTGGGAGGCTGAGGCAGGAGGATCGCTTGAACCTGGGAGGCGGAGGTTGCAGTGAGCTGAGATGGCACCATTGCACTCCAGCCTGGGTAACAAGAGTGAATCTCCATCTCAAAGGGAAAAAAAAGCATTGGGAAGTTTTCCTTCCTTTGCTGTGATCAGAAACAGTTTATGTAACAGTGAAATTATTTGGTTGTGAAGGTCAGAAGAATTCCCTGTGAAACAAAATGGGCCAGTTAAGCCGTTGATTACATTTTCTATTTCTCTCATGGGAATTATTCATTTCAGATTTATTTGCATAAAGTCGTTCAAAGTATCATCACTCTAAAAAATGTTCTCCACTTCAATATTTAGTCCTGTGTTGGTTTCTCATTTTTAGTGTTTTGTTTTCTTGTCATCTTGGTTTGGTTAGCTAGAGGTTTGTCTATTTTTTTTTTTCCAAGATCAGCTTTTTGTTCATAAGCTTTATTATTTCTTTGTTCTGATTTTTGCTTTTTTTTTTCTTTCTTGAGACAGAGTCTCACTCTGGCTCCCAGGCTGACGTGTAGTGGCGCTATCTCAGCTCACGGCAACCTCCGCCTCCCAGGTTCAATCGATTCTCCTGACTCAGCTTCCCAAGTAGCTGGGATCACAGGTGTGCGCCACCTTGCCCGGCTAATTTTTGTATTTTTAGCAGAGATGGGATTTCACCATGTTGGTCAAGCTGGTCTCGAACTCCTGGTCTCAAGCAATGTGGATGCCTCGGCCTCCCAAAGTGCTAAGATTACAGGCATTAGCTGCCACACCCAGCCTTGCTTGTTATTTTGCAACTGTTTCTCCTTTGTTTAATCTTTTCCTAATTTTGCATTTGATGTTTCTTTTTCATTTTGGATGTAATTTTCTTTGCCTCATTAATTGCACCATGGATTCTGATACAAGTTTTTACCATTTTAAACAAATTCTATGGTTGTGGTTTGTATTTGTCCTCTGATCCAAGAGTAATTTAATAGAGTTAATAACATTTCCAGTAGGGAATTTTTGAGTCTTTAATTAATTTCTAGTTTTACTGTACTGTGATTAGAGAATATGTTTAGATTCTCTCTGCCTTGTGGAATTACTGAAGTTTCCCTTGTGCCTTAATATGTGGCAAGTTTCCAAAAACGTTCCAAGGGAGCTCGGAAAGGTGTTTTCTCTGTTATTGAAACGAAATGCTTGGTATCACATGCATAAGAAACTGAAAGCTTCTAGATCATTTCATTTTGGCCTCTTAACCTATCTTGGATTCAGAGTGGCAATGTTAACCTTTACAAATGTGTTTTTATTTCTTCCTACCTATC